GGAATGCACCCTGGAAAATTTGTTGAATTTTCAGCCAAAAATTTATCAAATTTAACACTTTAATATAATGAATAATGAAAAAAGTCTATTGGGGAGACAATGACCACCAATGTTCAGAAACTAAGAAACACCAGAGAATCTCCTGTTTGGTATGTTTAATATACTACCCCTGTTGGGCTGTTGGCCGTTGCTAGGATATGGTTGAAGGTCGTATGTCACAGTATTAAAGACGGTCACCTTATTTCTTTCAACAATCACAGGAATAAGCGTCTCCAAGCCATGACTTCGCAAAAAAGTTTTTGCATCCATAAAGTCCTAAAGCAGATAAAGCACAATTAAAATACACTACAAGGGGAGACTTCAATTCAACCAGTTAGCTTTATACATACTTGTATATTTTTAAAATGTTTAAATCGGGCACATCCGACCGTTCATCAGAGTTTATAATATAAATACGTACGCTTCGTGAATAAAGCATTTAAAATGTGTCTTTAATTAGACAAAAACTTTAAGGTTATATTGTACTCACCGATTTATTGAACGATGCCATTGTCATGTAAATGAGGAAAATTGCCAAATATTATGCTTATGAGGAGGTCAATTGCCGATTTTCTCGACAGTTTTGAAGCAAACAAGTTGAAACAACAAAGAAAACCGCCAAACAGACTGTGAGTTGCCGCCAATTTCCCATCATGCAATTCCCGTTTTCTCTCGCAGACGTGTCGAAGTCACTGGTCGAAGTATACTCGACATGCCATCGTATGTTTCGGAGTAACTCGGAACAAACTCGGTTTTCTTTACTGATTTTAAAAGCAAGCGAGTGAGCGAGCAAGCTACAGCGTTAAAAGTCTTAAAAAGTGATTTTACTACTGCTATAAATTCATTTTTCATGGTGAAAATTCTTGTATATGAACCTCAGAAGTTAAAGACAGGACATGTCTGATGGGACAGCAGGGACACCAGGAAGAGGTATGTATATAATGTTTTTTTTCCCCAATAGTTGGTCTTTTAAATATATATACTTTTTGCCATACACGCAAGTTTGTCTGATTAGATAAACTACAGTATGCAGGTAACTAGTATTGATGGGTGATCCGTCTGTTCGCCCATGTTTATGCACAGATCTATCACACAAACTACAGTATCTATCGTTTTGCCCAAATTGTCGTTTATAAGTGTGAATCAGGGCACTTTATAAAATAATACTATAAAAAGTCAAATGGCTGTTTGTGGTCATACATGTTTGTGGCTGGGGCGGATCTAGGATTTTTCGTACCTCAGCCAACATTTGGGGGGGGGGGGTACCTTTGACTGGGGGGTGGTGGTTGCCAAGCAAATTAATGTGTCCTGTTTACGAAAAAAATTTTACGTGAAAAATTAGTGTTTCTCCCAATGTGAAGCAAACGCGTTTAAACATCCAATTCTTATCGCAAAATCGAATGACAAGCATGAATTGACGTTTTAAAAATTGTTATTCAATTGCATATTTTGTCCTTTTACGTGGATGGTCAAACGATTTTGCAATTAGGATATCGGTATTAAATCAATTTCGGTATATCGATACCGGATATTCAACCATACCGATATACCGAAATTTCCGATACTGTATATCACAATAATGAAAGCTAAACTTGATGGCTGTTATTTTTTTCACAATTTTTTATGGCTGTAAAACAATTTCTTCCAATATTTAAAAATGCAATATCATGATAACACAGTTACACATACAGTAGCTTTGAAATACAGTCCCATACCAACTTAAACTATATTCCATGTCTTAGGACGTCTTCACCCATGCAATTGTCTGCAGTGACATGGTCAGCAGAGAGATAGGCGAACAATAAGAAGACATTTCTTAAGTGTTAACCCTTATACACAAGGTGATCGCCAAACTGGCTGTTCTGATAGTTTACCTCGAGCTCCCGGTGATGCTGACCATGCAAGTTCAAATGATAATGAAACTATATCTGATGCGTTTGAGAACATTCAAGTCGATGGTACAGAACCTTTGGCTGGCATTCAGTTTGAAGGGGAATATACTACTGAGCATTTTGAGCTAGATGATGGTATTCAGCAAGACAATGGTGATATAAATGAGCAATCCAGTGATTCAGACAGGAATAACAACATCAGTTCTCAGGGTATTAAAAACCTGATTCTACGTATTTTAGAGTCAAAAGTAAAAAATGGTTGGTCACAAGAAGAAACCCTAAAGGAAATACGAAATATTTATGAACTGCTTCAAGATGAAAGGATTCCTCATCAATCATGGCTGTCGGTGATACATTTCTTGAAAAACCTTGGTTACAAAGATCCAACAACGTATAAAGTATGTATTAAATCAAATCATGTCACATTAGTGGAGGATGAAAATTGTCCTGATTGTGGAACTTCAAAAAGTACTTGTACAGACTATTTTGTGCTGGGTTTACAATTGGAACACTATTTCTTAAATGAATCTGTAATCCTTGATCATTTGAAACACTGGGCAAGGAAAGAAGAGTGGATGGGTGAAGCACAAATGAAGTATAAGGAAATTTGGCATGGCGAACGCTTTAAGGAACTCTCCTACTTTTGGGATGTTAACATTGAGAAAGTGTTGCCAGTTTGCTGTCCAAATTGTGATTCTATTATATCTGTAGGAGAAATGGCAGCTTTTGTACCACCAGGATCCACACTTCATGACAAAGTAAAACTGTATATGTCATGTAAAGATTGTTTGTTTGATTTTGTTCACATACCAAAAACAATGAAAGGGTGTCCTTTGAATAAAGCTTTTATTTTCCACGAAGATGGCTTCAACGCCTTTGAAAGGAAAAGTCGAGGTATGTCGGCTATTCATGTTTCAAGTGGATGCATCAGCAAGGAAAAAAGATCACAGGGGAAATATTTGAGAGTGTATAGCTTTGTTCCATCTGTTGTACTTCCAGAAGGTGTTCATCATAAATTAGATGCTTTCTTAAAGCCACTTATTGATGAAGCAAAAGAACTGTATATCAATGGCATCAATGTGACAATTGAACAACCACCTCGCTTAAAGACTGGGGTTTCTATCCAGCCTGGAAATTACCAAGTTAGGGCACTGCTTTTGCTTGGTACAGCAGACATAAAAGGTCATCAGGAAATGATATTGTATGCAGGAGGTGAGGAGATTTTAACCTTAGCTACTAGGAATGTTCGGTATGAGAAATTTCCAGTATCGGTATACCGAAACAATTATACCGTTATTATCAGTATACCGGTTTTCCTTTGATAATTATAAAGGAAAATTTGAAGGAAATTTTGAGTAATTCTAAAAGGGAAAACGATAATTTCGAAGCTGTTTCGAACATGTTTCGAACGACATGCACATACTCAGTGTAAAATCTCACTGAAGTGGAAATTCTAAATCATTGCAGTAGAAAGTTCTTTGAATTGCCATTCAGTAGTAAAATAAAGGTTATGGTTTC